AACTTCAATTCATACTTGCCTTCATATGAATTTCGCCCCATCAAGTGTTTCAACCACGATATCATGTCATCAACTTGATCTCTGTCAAAGTGATTCCATTCTCCATCGCAATATCGTTTGAGATTGTTGGGAAATTACTCACCATCGGGGTTGGAGAAGAAACAATGTGGAAAATTAATTAAGAGGATGAAAAAACGAATCAAGATCATGACGAAAATGGAAGGCTCAAACACGACATTACATTGTTGTCCTCAAACGATATTTGCTCCCTCTTGGTATTAATGTTGGTGCTTAAAGGATCTTACGGCAAACGGTTTGAAGGATTGATCAAGCCTTGATGTAGAGAAACACAAAAGCACAAGCATCTCTCCACCCGAATTTGAAAAACATATAGGGAATATATGAATGTAGAGGAAGAAATGATTTTTCTTTCTTGTGGAATGATGATAGATTACCATATGTTTCGTAATCTGATTTCCATGTGTTTTTTTATGTCCAACAAACACATATTTATAGCCATGAATCATAGCTTCATGAAATGGTGCCAAAACAAGATGAAAAGTGGCAACTTTTAATCCAAAACGGCTTCCAAGTTTCAAATTCAAAAATCAGCCAACGGTTATTTTTTAACACTATGCGTACGCATAGTATAAATCGTACGTACGCATAGTAGAAGCAAAATCAATTCTGATTTTGAAAAAGCACATCTCACGTACGCACAAAAATAAGCCTGTGCGTACACATAGGCAAAAATAAAATTTTTCATTTTTTAATTTCTTTTGATTTTACCAATTCCACAATTGAGTTCAACAATTAATCCATTATCATTCCATTGATTTTGAACAAATATTCAACAGTTTTCTTATACGTTTAGGTGCAGGTTCCTTCATTTCAACAACTACTGCATCAGATGTCAAAAAGGTCTTGGCAACAGATATCGCATGCTCCAAGCAACATCTAATAACCTGCTTCGAGATTGAATGTTAGCCACTTGGCCTCGGAATACGGTGAAAGTTTTACATTTTAGCACAATTATATAGTCGATTCTTGAATTTACCTTCGAAGGATCCAGTATTCCAGTAGCCATCAAATCCTCATATCTATTTTTTGCAGCATTGTATCCATACCTTATGTCGTCTGATGACAGAACCTGCAAATAGAAGTTTCCAAGAGTTTAACTTATAAAGTTTGATTACTAACTCAGTGAAGTCAACAATATCAGTTCAAAAATACTGAATATTCATTTTTCTCTACATGAAATAATGAAAAAACAAAACATTGATGCAAAGATACCTCCTGTATGACAGTGTTTCCATTTACACCAGCATTTTTGGCTATCTGTTGTGTAGGATAGGCCAACGCTCTTTTTAAAATGTCTACTACTATCTGTATGCACATTTAGAAAGCCATAAAGCCATAAAATTATAACTCCAAATATAATTAAATGTAATTCGAGAATGTCAAATGAAAAAGCCAGCAATCAAAGCCACTCCACTTCCTTTATTACCTTTCCATCTCCACCAACGACGACGCTAGTATTGAAGTTGTGAGAATATGGTTCTCTTAACCCACTCTATTCAGTTTTTTGTCAACCATTGGATGAAGCCCACTTTATTCAGTTTTTTGTCAACCATTGGATGAAGATCAATGATTGAGATTTAATCTTGTGGGAGAAGCTTTGACCAATTTTTCACCTAACATATTACTTGCCCCACGTTTTGTGTAAGAGGGCAGTGTCTTCGGTTGGGTGGGGTTATTTCAAAAGAGGCAGGCTGGTCATTTTCTTTGTGTGGCTCGACAGAAACTCTCCTCCATTTTGTTGGTTCCTTAAGGTGGTCTCTTGGTTGGTGGTTTTCAAGGGGTTCTTTGCCGGTTCTTTCTCTCTCTCTTTGGAAGGCGATTTGCATAGCATGGGGCTGTTCCTGAGCCTGTAAAATCTGCCATAAGAGGTGAAGAAGCTGCTGCAAGGAAGAAGAAGAAGCTGGACAGATTTCGGCCATATAAGGGGTTGTATTCTTCCGATTTTATATTTTCTTGTTTTTGCCTTGAATCTTGTTTGTTGATTGATGTTTTGGTTGATTGAACTCCTAGGATCCCCAACAGAAGTAGTCCGCCATCGCGGCTGCTGGTCCAAAAGTAAATCAAAGCTACCGATTATCATTACACAAGACTCTGAGACATTAATGAACCTTTTGATCTCGAAATTTTTTATGACACTGAGTTTAGAGATTTTGAGCGTATTAATTATGATGTAAGAACTTTTAATTAGTTTTATGGTATTATTCTGAAGGAAAATTACACGTCAACAGGCGTGTAAAAATTACATTTCATAAATCAAGTATGAAGTTTATTTGTTCAAATATCATGTATTAATTTAATTATTTATATTAATAA